GATGAATATTTGTATAGAGATATAGGCTTGATATCACCTACACATTCTTTATGCGGCACTCGAGAAAGGGTATAAGGATATACATCACTCTAGGTTCTTGAGAACGTTGAGTTAGGTTAGGCACATTACTACGGAGAAACATAATCACAATAGAGTGAAGTCAATACCCTAGCATTTTTATCATATTGATTTTCCGTTCTAATTTCAACACGTATATTAATTACTGTCATCTTTCCTTTTGATTTAGTTTTCCTTTATTTTAGTTTTTCTTTGAGTTTATCACATCCAAATTTGATCGCTTAGATAAAGTTAAGATATGATATTCACAATAGTTAGTTTATATTCTTAACGTCAATCCTCGTGGGACGATATCGGTCTTCGGACCACTTTATTACTTGTACGACTTGTGCACTTGCGAGCATAGTCAAATTATATTTGCAACATCTACTCAACGGAAAGCTTTGTCAGTTTTGAAGAATCTGAAGGTGTGATTATGTGGTGATTGTTCTCTAGTTTCTGCCTGCATTGGAATTTCATACTTTGCTCCAAATTTTGTTTTACAACAAATAGAAAGTGGCAGAATTATTAATTTCCTATATTTACTGCACATCTGAGTTGTGGAGCCTGAAATCGATGAATAATCAGTTGAATGAGACGATAGTGTTTGAAAATGTTTCATGACTAATGGGTTTTTTCCATTATTCTATTTGGATTGTAGGAACTCAAGGCATCGAATTATCCCATTAGTACCACTTTCAGGAACCCAAGGCATCGAATTTGGATTGAAGGGTTTCTTCATTAGTAAAAATGAGTTATTGTAATTTCATATGCAGTTTTTGATGGGCTCTTTTTTTTTTTTTTTTTTTTTTATGTATTCACGTGTGTGTATTTTGTATTTTGTTCTTTCCATGCATGCCATGTTTTGTAATTTTGAATGAATTGTCTACTTCATATAAGATGTTTGTTATATGATTTTTATCTACCTTACATTTTGATTTTTTTGTCCTACTCACGGACAAATGTAAAAGAGGTTGCATATATTCATTCATTCAGTTACACGTTTTCTTTTCAGTTGGTTTTTTTATCCTTGTGAGCTTTTATACTTTGGTCTCTGTGGATGGAACAGAATGGTATAATTTTTTAGGAAAAGGCGATGGGGCCAATTGATATTTTTGAGAAGGCAAAGTTCTATGCCAAAAACAATTCCACAACTCGAAGACTACAACTGTCCCTGAGTAATTGTCACTAATGCTTCTTTTAGTTGTAATTATATTGTGAATGAAAAAATAGAAAAAAAAAGAATTAATTATCATAAATTTATTGTTAAAAAATTCAAAATCAAAACATTATGTGTTTTTAAAGTTAAACAAGTATTTTTAAATACCAAAATTAATTATATATATTTAAATTTCATATCATGTCTATTTTGGTCATTTTACATACCCACAGCAATTCCACCTTAAAATTTACCAAACGCTATTTACTGATTTTGGAACCAACACAGCTACTATAATTACAATTTACCAAACACTCAACTGCTTCTTGAAACAGCTGCTTTTTCTTTCAGCACAACTAAAAGCACTTTTTTTAAAATCCACAGCATTACCAAACTAAGCCAATGTCTATTTGGGATAGAGGTGGAACGAAACACTACTTGAAACACATATAAAGTTAGTATGTTTAGATTCATTATAAATGAATTTGAGTTATAATCGGGTTGACACGGTTAACATAATTAATAAACGTGTTGGGTTAGAGTTGATCTCCTAACACAAAGTGACACGTATTGACACGATTAACTATATGTGTCATCTGCAATTTAATGATATGTCATATAACATAAAAATTTATGACATATTAAATACAAATAATATGAATTCTAATATTTATAGGTAAAATTCATTTATTTTTCTTTAAAAAAAAAATAAATTGATCAATGTTAAATCTGTAAACGTGTTAAATAAGTTCTTATTATATTAATTATTTATTCAATATATTAATTTAAAAAGTTATATAAATTGACACGATTAATAAATACATCGTGTTTGGATTGATATTTTTGACATATTTAATAAAAAGATCGTGTTTGAGTTGATATTTTCTAAAATGATTAATAAATGAATTGACACAAACACGATCTATTAACATGAATTGTCACCTAGTTTGGAGGCTGATGAAACTTCCAATATGTATAAAAGAAAAAAAAAATCAAAAGATACAAAATACTGGTATTGGAAATATATCACCTTATAGATAGCTGCACTCGTGAGACCATCTTCACGATTCGGGACAAAAATCAAAACCAGAATTCTAACTCACGTGATGGAAAGACCAGCAAAAAAAACTTGATGGAAAAATAGAGCAATTAAGGGGATTCGTTTTGCAAGACTTTGGCATTGTCATAGTTTCAATGAAATTCTCTTCATCTTAATCACGCCGGTATAACAGTAGCAACTTGAAAGAAATTAAGAAGCAGCAGTCAATAGATTTTAAAAATCTAATGATGAGTTTTTAATCAGTAAACATGGCACCCTCTAAAACCACCTCCGGGGGTTAAATGTTGCTGCAATTGGTCTCTAACCAAAAGTGTTTGACAAATTTGTACAGTTAAAACCTAAGTTTTGTTTAAAGAATGCTAAAATGAGACTTCCCAAAGTAAATTTGCTTCCCTGCTTTGCTTTTTAGTTTGTTGTTATGAAGTCCCCTCCTGTCCAGCAGCATGAAGCAGTTCGTCCGGGGTCGCAGCGGGGTCGAGATCCCAACATTTCTCCGGGAAATCACTCTCTTCTTCCTTTAGCAACCAGGATGGCACCTGGTGCGAGAAGCGCACCATCTCCCTCCGTGGAATCCACCGTATTGCACCCTTGTCAGAGTTCCTGCCGTATACTGTCTTGAATCCTGTCACTTTCACAAGAGGAGAAACACAAACACCGAGCTCTTCAGAGTAGTCATCAAGAACCTCCACCATTTCATACTGGTGCCTCACTTCGTCTGGAGTTGATCTGTCCCAATCCGGCGACCAATTCCGATAAACAGCCCAAATATCTCCACTTCTAGGGTATATCCGAACACAGCCTCCTCTACCAGCTTTTTCCCGGCTCAAAACATGAGAAAAAATGTTAACTTGTTCGACAACATCAGAGGTCCATGCCCTGAAGTTTCCACAAGATTTAGTAAAACCACAATCCAGCCAGTTTACAATCCCGAATTCAGTGTCCGTTTTCGAGTTCAAGTAAGTGATGTGAATCTTAAACGGTTTAACTGATATCACTTCACGTATCAGGCAGTACAAACGGGGCATTCCGTCTTCTTCGTCGTACAGAGCCCATATTTGTTTTGGCTTGAAGCATTCCTCTGATCTATCCTTGTCAAAATCGTGGAAATCAGGGTCAGGGACAGTAATAGAAAGTGGAGCAGCTTTATTTCCATGTAATTGGCGACCAAAACCATCGGAGTCTTGTCCTCTCTTTGCTTCTTTAACTACCATGGCACAACCAATTTCACTCTTTGCTTTCGCGTTCTTAACTGCAGCTTCTGCTGCTGACGCCAACTTGATCTCTTCCAACTTCTTCAGAATTTCAGCCCTCGCCTTCTCAATCAACAACTTCCTAGCATCAAATGCAGGAGCAGCGGAGCAACGTCTGTTTGGAACTTCAACTGGACAAGACAATTTATGATCCTGCCCAATACTGGCATTTCCGTTCTCCACTTTCGTCTCTAAAGCAGATTTTGGTTCGATTTCTAGAGACCCATTACGGAAACTAGTGTCCACCACAACTTTCCTTCTCTTATCGGGTTTACCAACCTTAGATGCTGGCGATTCATTGTAGCCAGCGGAAAATTTTGAATTTGCATTAGCCACAACATTTTTCATGGAACGTTTTCCATTGGCTCTTGACTTTACATTCACTCCAGCTATGTTGACATGTCCGTGAGCGTTATAAATAGCATCAGGGGTCATAGAAGACGGTCCAGTAGGACCCACAACTCCAACAGAAGTTCCAGAAAATGAGCTCCACTGAAACGACACATTTGAAACGTATTCATATCCATGTCCAGAATGAAGACCCGAGACCCCATTTCCTGAGAAAAAAGTAGCACTAGATGGAACATATGTAACCCCATCATATCCATGGCTTGCATATCCATTACTGGGAACATAGGGCCAAGGAGTATAAGGAAACGACCCAGTTGCCGGGGCTGTCCCAGTTTCCACAGCAATGAAAACGCCACGGCAGTTCTTACAAGAAAGCCTCTTGTTCACGTACTTTCGGAGATACTCGTACTGAACTTTACAGGAGGTGCAAACAGTCCAGAAAGTGTCAAGCCTAGCACGAGGAGCTGAATTGGAACAATTATTGAAACCTGTAACACCACCAGCATGAACAGAGGATACATTTGTCTGGTTAACCACAGTGGTGGATTGTTGTTTGTTTCTCTGATGATCATAAGACCTTTTTCTAGCATTATCCGACAACAAGGTCCACGCCTCCGAAACAAGTTTGAAAGCACCATCAGCTCCCACACATTTGTTCTTATCAGGATGAAGCAAAACGGCCATCTTCCTGTACTGTTTCTTCACTGCATCTTTATCCGCAAACGGCTTTAATCCGAGAATTGAATAGTAATCCACTTCACCATTGAATTTATCCTCAGATGCAATGTAGACTTCGAATGTGGCCACCATTTGAGATATGCCCTCAAGTCCTGGGAACAGTTTTTTGGCCTTTAGCGCATAATTTCTCGCGTCAGTAAAGTTTTTCTCAAAAAATCGCTTCTCGGCAATCTCTTTCGCTTTCAGAGCCTCTTCTTTGTTTGCTTCCATGTGGGAACGAACTCAAATCACATCAAAACAAGAATTTTTGAGAGAAAAGCTTATAACCAACCCAACGTGCTGAACCATGGAAGACGCCCAATTCTCAAGCGTACCCACATTTTCATTTCTGCAAATAATTAGTAATAAATTATATTTAAAAAAAAAAATAGGGAACTCCATGGCTATCAACCTCAACTCATATTTTCAAACAAAGAACTGCGTAAGTGACTAAATCGTACATATTTTCCCAGGTAAAAGACTTGATGACATTAAAGGCGGAAAAAGCTGTTTCTTACGTTTTCAATACGAGCTGAACAAAAAAGTCCAAATCTCAACACATGATTAAAGCTTTTTTTTTTTTTTTTTTTGCTTGAACATGATTTAAGCTTAATTAAACAGAAATTAACCAAAGAAATTAGAAACTTTACAATCACAAAAGAGATTTGGACTTCAAATTTTCTTTCGATTATAACGATATAAATGCAAAGGACAGGAAAAAAAAATAAAAATAAAAATATCATTTTCCTTCAGTTTCCTCGGTTTTTCCAAAATCCAAATCAAGCCCATTTTTCTAAACCACAAAACAGGAAAAGAATCAGCTAAATATCCCGATCGAGATCCAAATTTCATAAAATCTCAAAGCCGAAGACACAAAATGCGCAGAGATCGAAATCCCAAACCCAAAAGAACTACAAAATTACACATCTCAAAGCTCATATTCCACTCCTGAAATGCAGAAAACAACTAAAAAAAATTAAAGTACACCACTAACAGTAATATTTAAATAAAAAAAAACTTACTGAAAGTTGAGCAGAAGTAGTGGAGGCGAAGAAGACGACCCAGATCGCCACGTGTACTTCGGAGCTCGAGCTAAATCAAGCTCGGCAAATCGTGAATCGCACTGTACCAAAAGCACAGACACAGAGAAAAACGCAATTTTTTTTTAAAGTTATGTTGTTAAGTGGAGAGAGAGAGTTCCAAGTAGGGAGAGTTTTCTAGGGTTTGCCAAACAAAGAATTCAGAGAATCGAATTGGGGGAAAATAATTCCGGCTACTCGGCGGCGACGAAGAATCGGAGATTCCCGTCGATTAAGCCGATCGGAAATGGCGAAGCTGAATTTACTGGTAATAAAAATTAAAAATTTTGGTTTTTTTTTTCGTATTTTTGTTTTTTCCCGGATAATTTTTTGTTTTTTCAGCGAAGAGTAAACGGTATGTTAATAGTGTTTAATGGTAAAGGGATGCTATTTTGCGCAGTGGTGCGTTATGGGCATATCTTTGTTGCCTTTTCTGTTTGGGTTTAGAAGGGTACGTTTGGTAGTGGGTGGAAATGGGTTGTGTTATTATTATTATATATAAATATTTTTATTAATATATTTTATTATTTGATATTTGGTAATTGGTAATTGGTTCATCCCATTATTATGAGCTAATATTAGGTAAGAGACAAATAATAATATTATACAGAAATGGAGAAAATGGTCCCTGTTTTTGTTCTTCTTTTCTTTTGTTTTCTTATTATATGGTATTCTAGCCAATAGTATAATAACCTTCCTTCAAGAGAGTTTAATGTCTATTATTTTATGACCGTTTACACTAAATGGGAAAAAAAATATCTGTTTCTTTTTGTTTTATTTCCTTTTGTTTTCTTGCATGGTATGCAAGCTAATATATAACTGCATGGATTTATTATGAGATTAGAGAGTATAGTTTCTGTCATTTTAGGACATCTTACAGATATTGCTATGGAGTTTTTTGTTTTGCTAATCGATCGATATTACTAAGGATTTATTTACTTTATTTGAGAACCAGCTGTATTTTTTTTAGAACTTCAAACCTCAAATTTAAATATGAAAGATTCCATTTTTCAAGGAACTCATTTTTCAATTGCAACGCTTCTCTTATCACCATAGTTAGTTTTTTATTTTTATTTTTATTTTTTTTCCTGACTTGCATTATATGTGTACCTCGATACATTGTCTACTTTCTAGCTACAACACTACAAAGAATACAAATAATACGTCAAATAGTAATTACCATTTTACTTCATCATTAAAATATGTAGAAAAACAAGACAAATACCTTTTTACTCATTATTTTTAATTAATATCATTTTTAGTCAAATAATTATGGGCTTGTTCTTTTACAAGTATTCTTGAGTTAAGTTTTTGAGTTGAGTTTGAGTTATAACTTGAGTTGAAGTTGTAACTTGAGTTTGCGCTTGGTTGTCTATACTTGAGTTATGGTTTGAGTTAAGAATTTTTTTGAATTTGTGTTTGTTTGTGATAAAACTTGAGTTGTGAATAGTGGATATCATTTTTTTTCCTTTAACAATTTTATTCAATTCTTTTACAATTTTTTTTATTTTCCGAATTTATTATATTTTTTTTGTAATTGAATATGAATAATTTAAATTAGTTGTAAATAATTATTAGTAATCTGGTAATTTTATAAAACACATAATTACAAAAGTAAAAAATAATAAAAATAAAAAGTAGAATATCAGTTTTCATTTTAATTAAGTTCAAAAATACAACAATAAATACATAAATTATAACATGAGTATTTAAAGACCCTATAACATAATATCGTCGCATATCAACGTCTTTTGAATGAGGGCTATTAGTGTGCACGACGGTGACGGTACATTGCCCACATTGTACGCGACCTTGCATCCCTTAAAGCATTCATCTCCACTTCTGCATTAGAATCCAATGGTTGACCCTCATGGTTAGTATTATCATTAATGTCCTCATCAACATTCTGTGGATCAATGTCTGCAACCGGAACGCCATCTTGTGAGTATTGGTCCAATAGGCTGTCCCCATTACGGTACATATGGATAAAATTATGTATTATAACACACGCTACTGGAATCATAACTTGTTTGGTCATGGGATAACGGTTAATGGTTCTCAAAATACGAAATCTAGCCTTCCACACACCAAATGTTCTTTCAATGACATTACG